GATTGAGGCCTGTAGGGTGTGTGGAGAACTTACTTTATTCTTAAGGATGTAAAAATGCCTTGGGAAATTTGACTGATGAAGGCAGGACAGCTATCGGATTGGATGGATGTTGGGAGTCTGAAACGGGAAATTGTATACATGATGAGTTTATGTGATGATATTTGCACCTTCTGAAGTTGTTGGGAATGCTTCTACCTAACCGGAGAAAGTACGGACAAGGACTAGAAGATAGCAGAGCCATTTATCATGTAGCATATGAGTGAAGTCTACTTGCCAATCTTCCCCAGGTATCTGGCCCTGGGCTTGGTGGGTAGGAAAAGGCAGAGGCTGCAGGGAGTCCTGGGGTTACACTGAGGGGTAGATAGAGCAGGACTGGATAATTTCTTGAACGTGGCTGGAATGGTGAGAACAAGTGAGAATAGGGTGGAGAAGTTGCAAGAGAGGTTGGTAACCAACATGGAAAGTATTGTGGAGGCTTTGGAGATGAGGAAGGCTTTGAGAGTGAGGAAGAACGAAGCACCCTTCCTTGACATAACAAGGTCCTTGCTTTTGAAGGTTTTGGGCTCAGAAGTCTTCTTTTTCTTCTGAGGAGTAAAGAGGAGAGAACAAGGACAGGGATGGCAACCGGCCTTTGCAAGGTTGTAGGGCTACTTGTTTGTCTACCTGATCTGTTAGGACATTTCCATCCAATTTAGGATTGTCTGGGGTTTGGTGGCCCCTGCAAGGAATGATGGCAACTTTCTGGGGGAGCCTGGCAGCGTGAAGGAGCTTGCTGATGAGAGAGCCACTTATGACAGGAGTATTGTTTACAGTTAGGAAACCTCGTTCTTTCCAGATGGATGATTGTGAGTGCACTACGTGGAACGTATAACGAGAATTTGGATATATTGATCTGTTTTCCGGATGTTAGAGTGAGAGCTCAAGTGAGGGCAATGAGTTCAGCTTTTTGGGAGGTGGTGCCTAGGAGGAGCGGATTGGCTTCAATAATGTTGAGAGGGGCGGTGACACTATAGCATAGCCAGCATGTTGGTGTCCTTGATGTAGGAAGGAGCTGCCATCTACAAACTAAGTGAAGGAGGCATCTGGAAGGGATTGGTCTGTTAGGTTTGGAAAAGGTATAAGAAAGGTTTGAACAGTATTCATACAGAAGAGTGTGAATAAGAGTCTTGGGCGGTTGTAGCTTCAGGTAAGAGCATGGCCGGGTTTAGATGGGAGCTGGTTAGCATGGTGATGTGGGGAGTTTCTATGAATACAGCATACAGTTGGAGGAGCTGTGGGGCAGAGAAAAGACTTAGTACACTGCAGTGAGCTAACATGTCTTTGATGTTATGGGTTGAATAAACTGTTAGGTTGGCATGAAGAGATAGTTTTAGACTTTTAACAGAGAGGACAGCAGCTGCCACCAATGCTCAGAGGCAGGCAGGCCATCCGATACCTGTGGCTTCAAGCTGTTTAGGGAGGTAGGCAACAATCTTGGGGGATGGGTCCCTGAGACTAAGTTAGAACAGTTAGAACACCTAGTGCAACTCCACGCCATTCATCAGTATAGAGGGAGAAAGGTTTAGTGAGGTCTGGGAGAGTGAGGATGGGGGCTGAGATAAGAGCCTTTTAGAGTAGATGGAAAGGTTGGATAATAGGCTGTGCAAGTTTTAAAGGCTCATGGAGAGGGCTTTTAGCAGCTTGGTATAACGGTTTGGCAAGTAGATCAAAGGAGGAAACCCAGAGACTAAAATATTCCACTAATCCTGGAAAAGAGATAATTTCTTGCTTAGTTTGCAGAGGTGGGAGGGACTGGAGGAGGGATATGTGGTCTATTGTGAAACCTTGGGTTCAGGGGGTAAGAGCTAGGCCTAGATAGGTGACTGGGGGGGTGCATATTTGTGCTTTCTTAGGGGAGACCTGATACCTCCATTCTGCCAAGAAGATTAAAAGAGAGATAGTATGTATGGGTGTTGCAGTTTCTTTGAGAGGGGCTACACAGGAGCAGATTATTAACATATTAAAGGAGAGAGGACGATTTTAGGGATAAAGTACCGAAGTCACTAGCAAGGGCTTGTCCAAAAAGGTGGGGGCTGTCTCTAATACCTTGAGATAGTACACACCAGGTGCGCTGACATGAAAGGTGGTTGTCGGGGCTTTCCCACGTAAAGGCAAAGAAGTTCTGGGAATCAGGGTGTAAAGGAATTGCGAAAAGGCATTCTTTAGGTTTAGAACAGAAAAATGAGTGGTATTGGAGGGAATTGTGGAAAGTAAAGTATATGGGTTAGGAACTACTGGGCTTACTGGGAGTAGAGCTTAGTTAATGAGACTGAGGTCCTAGACTAAGTGATAAGTTCCATCTGGCTTTTTAACGGGTAGAACTGGTGTGTTAAAAGGAGAGTTTGTTGCACTGAATAGGTGACTGGTGAGGAGGAGAGAAATGATATGCTTTAGGCCTGTGAGAGCTGCTTGGGGGATGGGATACTGCTTCTGTGATAGGAACTGAGTGGGCTTCTTAAGGGTGGTGTGGATGGGAGTGTGGTGTTCTGTGACTGAGGGTGTAGAATTATCTCAAAAAGTGGGGTTAACTACAGATGGGGGATAAAGAAAAGTTGAATGTCTTGGGGTGGGAAGTTGGAGGAGTAGAAAAAAGTTAGAAGACTTGGAGGGGTCTGGGTTGATGTGTTGGGTACTATGGGGAATGTGGAAGTGGAGAGCAGTGTGGAGTTTTGAAAAGATGTCTCTGCCTAGGAGCATAGTTGGGCATGAGGGCAAGACTAAGAAAGAGTGACTGAAGGAAAAGCTGTGCAAGGAGCAGAAAAGTGGAGGAGGGGCTTGGAGTTTGGAGACTTGTCCATTGATTCCCACAACAGAGACTTGGGAGGACTGGCTGGGTCCTGAAAATTTAGGTAAAGGAGAATAAATTGCCCCAATATTAATTTTCAAAAAACATGCTGGCTTACCTGCCACCATTAGGGTTACCCTTGGCTCAGATGAAGCAATGGTAGTTGCTGGGGCGTCTGTTCCAGGTCACTGTCCGTATTCAGCAGCAAGGAAGATGAGATCCGAGAAGGAGGTTCTGGCCGGCTGGGGCAGGCAAGGGGGTGGTCCTTGCTGGGGACCCTCACAGTCTGACTTCCAGTGGAGTCCTCTGCAGAGGGAGCACGGCCTGGTGGGCTTACCTGGGTTTGGGCATTGCCTGGACCAGTGGCCTTCATTGCCGCACTTGAAATAGGCACTAGGTGGAGGTGGATTGCTAGGAGGCCTCTATGTGGAGCTGCAGCCTACAGGGCCCCTGATGGTGGAGGCAAGCATTTGAAACTGTCCTTTTTTTTTTTTTTCTTTTACTTTCCTCATCACAACTATTAAAAACTTGGAAGGCTAAATTAAGAAGGTTTCATTGTGGGGTCTGAGAGCCGTAGTCAAGCTTCTGAAGCTTGCGCCAAATGTCAGGGGTAGATTGGTTGAGGAAGCGAAGATTTAAAATAGTGGTTCCTTCTGGGCTGGCTGGGTCTAGGTTGGTATATTTTCTTTTTCTTTCTTTTTCTTTTTACTGTTGCATTATGATTTAATCTAATTGCACAAAAATTTGAAATTACAACTCCTCCCATTTTCTAAGAGGAAGGTTATGCATGCCTCCATATTCAATTCTGCACTGTTACATTTGAACCATATTGTGAACTTTACATCATGATGGATCAGCTTAGAATTCCCATGCAACACCTCAAATTAAAAAATGGAAGCAATTTTTAGACCTGTGGAAAGTTTTCATGCTAAAGATAAAAACGATTGTTAATGGGCAATTTACTTTGTGTTTAAGTACCAGGTTGCTGCTATACTTTAAAATGTTGGTCACTAAATAACATGGACCTGAACTGGCTTCTACTCCTTAAAAAAAAAAAAAAAAGTGTTAACTATCACTTAGGTGACATCTATATTCCCTTCACTTCAGAAGACTAATCCATAGTGCCTCTCAGCTGTGTTTCTTATAAAATAAGAATCGTGTAACCAACTGCTTCCCATGGGATAAGAACAATGGTTAACAGTGGGTTCAACTGACTATTACACCATTATGCTAATATTTTGTTAATTCAAAAGCACTTTACAAGAAAATATAAGTATGGCTTCCAATAGGAATGTTATACCTGGACTTGGTACCAAGCTCACAGATTTGAGTTTGCAAGGAAAAACAGGCTTTCAAGTTAAACAACAATTTGTAACCAAAACTTTAATCCCAAGGATTCTCACAAAACATATTACAAATGACAGCATGAAAAAAAAATCTCGCACAGTAACTCAAAGTTTGGCTCTACAATGAACCCTTAAACTGGCAGGACATTTTTTGAAATCTCAAATTTGCACATAAAGAACGTCACGAACAGCCATGTATCCATATACAGCAATCAAATAAGGAACTTATGACCTAAAGCAAAGGTAAACTTTCTTGAATAACAGATTCTATACCAACTAGGCAACCTCTGCCCAGGATGAAAGTTGGATTTTTCAAAAACCTCTAATTTAATAGTTCAGCGTTTCTTTTTACCTGATGGCTTGTGTTTCACAGCAGTTTTTAAAGACTGCTTATTCAACTATAGCTGCATCCTATATCCCAGCTATGGAAAAAAAGTAAATGTTAGTTTTTTTGCCAGTTGTTTCTGTATTTAAAAAAAAAAAAAATCAGACTTCTGCTGGGCAGGTTTAGAGGTTTATTATCAGTCTATGCATAACTAAAGTTCAAAGCAAATTCAATTTTGCTTAAGGGAACATTGTAAAGTAACAATTCTTGGTATTACATGCCTCATATGATCCATTTCAAACCATAGAGAATCACACCTTTGTGTCACTGTTTCAAGAGACAAACAGATTTTGAACAGCTAAAACATCTTAAAAATGCACCAAGCTTATGAAGTCTCAAACAAAACTTGAATTTCCTGTACATACTCCCGTCAAATGAAGTAATTTCCTATACATTTTTTATAGGAAATTATTTCCTATAATTTCCTTCTCTTGCAAACTGTCTTCTATTTCCTTTCATTTGACCTAGATCGGCTATGAGACCTAGAGAAGGATCGGGACGGCTTGTGATTTCTCTCCCGAGACAGCGATCTCTCTCTTCTCCTATCTCTAGAAAGGGACCTGCTTCAGCTGCGAGAGAAGCTTCTCCTTCTTGGAGATCTGCGACGAGATGGAGGACTCCTCCTACGATAATCATCTCGAGGGCGACGACCCCAAGAGGGAGGTGGGCCACGATTTCTACTTCTTTTTTCACCATTCGACAGTTCCACTCTTACAGGGCAGGCACATAGTGTTCTTCCATCTAGCTCTCGGACCGCATCAGCTGCATCTCGGGGATCTTCAAATTCAACAAAAGCAAAGCCGGGTGGGTTTCTAGCAACCCACACACTTCGGAGTGGTCCATAGTAGCCAAAAGCCCGTTCCAATTCGGTCTTGTTGCCATTGTTTCCAAGATTGCCTGCATAAACCTTACAGTCCAATGGACAGAAATCACGATGCATTTCGAGATCTAGGGTTAAGAAATGCGGCGGCTCAAATCCACACGCTCTGATGGGTCTTCCTGCTTTCCTCCGGCCCAACACCCACCAATGCTCTCGCTCAGCCGGCGTCCACGAAATGGGTTGGTATATTTTCTCAAGGCTTTAGTTAAACAGGAGAGAAAAAGGGTTGGGTTTTTGTCAGCACCTTCAGTGATTTCTGAAAGTTTTTCATAGTCTACCACTTTATGGGAACCCTTTTTGAGTCCTGCAAGGAGACACACAATCATGTGGTCTTGATGGCAGTGTCCAGAGGCCCTATCTTGACAATCCTGGTGGGATTCCTGGTTCGGGACTGCCTCTGTGCCCAGTAGGCTGGGCAGGAGCTTGGTGATGAATTGTATTAGCATGCACCTGAGCTAGGGTCCAAATATGGACCTGGTCTTCTGGGGTGAGGGTGGAAGAGAGGATAAGTAGAGGTCATGCCAGGTTAGTTTATAAGACTGTATAAGGTACTGATACTCCCTAATATAAGAGGTAGGGTCTTCTGAAAATGAACTGAGTCTTTTGTTAATTTGAGAGAGATCAGTGAGGAAGAAGGGAACATGAATTCTAACAATACCTTCAGTTCCTGCTACTTCCTGAAGGGAGCATTCTAGCACCAGCGCTGAAGTACGGGTGGTGCATGGGCCAAAGATGGTGCCTACGCTGGTGTGGGCAGGAGAGAAGGAAGAAGCCAGAAGGGGTTCCTGCTGAGGGTTTGAAGGGGAAAGGGGGGTTGAGTTGATAGGCAGTGGAGGACAGATAGGGATGTAAGGTGACTTGATGGGTTTACGGGCTTCAGGAGAGGGCAGTGAGGAAGGAGAATGGGTACAAGCAATGCTAGAGTTGTCCTGAGGAGAGGACGGTGTAGGAAAAGAAGTGGCTAATTTTGGAGGTGATGTCAGCTGGAAAGATGATGGCTGAGAAGACAATGAGGAAGCTTGGGGAGTTAATGAAGATGGTTGAGATGGAGGGGTAGGGGCTGGGAGGGGTGGACAGCAGTCAGCTGGATCCAATGAAGAAAAGAGGTAGGGTCAGGAGGAGAAAAGTGATGAGGGAGATGAGAATGGAGAAGGATTTGAACAGGTAAGCAAGAATTGCAGAGGTCAGTTTGTGATCTGAGTGCAAAAAGTCCTGGACACAAGGACTTTCTCCCCATTTTTCCAGTGGCTGGCAATAACTGCTTAAGTCAGTTAAAATTGTAAAGTAGAATGATCTATTTGTGGGCCATTTGGATTCGTTATCTAATCTAATTCACAGTCTGACCAGGCTTTATTGTATAAAAAAGATAAGGCACTTAGGGCGGATGTCTTGCCTGAGGTCTAAGGTTTGCAGATTTTTTATGAGGCAACCTGGAAGGCTGTTTTTTGGAATGGAGGACCAGGAGTTTTCCATATCAAAGAGTAGGCTCAGGAGAAGAGGGAAAAAGGAGAACATCCTGGACAGCTGGAAGGAGACGATAAAAGGAGCTATCATCACCGCTGCCTTTTTGGTTCCCAGAAAGGGGTCAAATGGCTTAGTGGCATCCCCCTAAGACCAGATGATCAGTGAGTGCCTGGCACATGCTGGAACCTTGTTGGATCAATGCTGGAATTTTGGACCAGAGAAACCAAGAGAGGCCATGCAGATTTTCCCCTGTTAACTGGGCTCCCAGGGAAACTTACCAGTAGGCAAGATCAGTGACCAATGTGCATGCACAGAGAGGCAACTGGAAGCTGAGGAGCTTCCTTTGTCTGGTTGCTGTGGCCTGCTCTCTGGGGAGAATGGGTAGGTCTGCAAGCAACACAGACCTGAGCCCCTCCCGGGTTTTCCCACCAGATGTAAGGTTCTTGAATCGGTTTGAACCCCCGGAGTGTGCCAACAGACAACATGAGGCTGTGTGGAGCAATATGCAGCTTTAATGAGTGCCTGGGTGCAGGTGGGCTCAGGCCTAAAATGGCATCAGTCCCAAGTGAGTATGGGACAGGCGTTTTACAGTCCTCTGTAAACAGTAAGTGTCCCACTCTGACGTGACTACTATGTACTACCTGGACAGCCTCTTTCTTGATCTTCAGGGGTACATGTCTTCCAGCCAGGGTAAGTGTCTTCTGGCCGGCTCTCTTCCTGCTTCTATCTTGCTGACACATGCTGCTGATGCAAGTGGTTTTGTGTCTTGGGACTGGGCCTGAGAAGGGAGGAGTTACTCATCCCTTCAGGCTTTCAGGCCCTGAGGAGAATCTTTGAACCCCCTGCTCCGCTGGTCACCCTCATGATGGATTCCTGTGGTGCCAGGCAGGAATGAGCCACTTGGGTATCCAGAGAGCTCCTAGTGGCTTTCTGCTACTTCCTCTACCCTTGTATTTTGCTTGGCTTGGTTCTCTAACTTGACTCAGCTCCAGGTAAAGTCAGGAACTTCTCCTATAAACAGACCTTCAGCTTCTCCAGTGGGGTTGTGTATTCGGGAGAGGGGGCTATCCTTTTGCCATTTCCATTGTTGAGGCACTCACAGTATTTGGTATGTCTCCCAGGGCCTGCAAGAGCAGTACACTTACTGCAGAGGGTCTGTGGGTCCTCTCAGAATTGCTGGTCTGTTCTTGCAGTTGATCTGCAGCTAAAATTCACAGTGCAAGCCTCCACATGCTGCTCTGTCTAGAGCTGAAATTTCACCCCATCTGCCATGATCGCTGGAAAAATCCTCATTTATTTTTTGAAAGGTAGAGAAAATGCTAATCTATAGAGATAGAAATTAGATTAGTGGTTGCCTAGGGTAGGATGGATGCAAAATTTCAGAGTGGGGGGTTAAAGGCTATTGTATATAATTTTTTGGAGGTAATACTGATTGTTGCAGTGGATGTAAAATTCTGTGAATATACTAGGAAACACTGAACTGTACACACTAATTGGTGAATCATATGGTATATGAATTATATATCAACAAAGGTTTAGAAGACATTCCTTGTACCATGATATTAAAAATGCTGTTTGTGTTGTATAATTACTTCATCTCTCTGTGTGCAGGGCATTGAAGTCGCAGGAGCCTCTCATTTGCCACTGTTCTTAACAGCATTATAAAATAATTACATAAGAGAGATTACTTACATATTACATATGCTGGGTCATAAAAGTTATTGTTTGACTAGAGTAGTTATAAACACAAAAGAACACCTAACACACTAAAATAAATATGAGGTCATCTATCTTTTGTTTGTCTCCTTGGCATGCACCTATTCAGACTGTTAATATTATGTGTTTATTTTTAACTTTAGCAGTTATATTTTAACTTGATTGATTTATCCTCAGATTTAAGTATGAGAAATGACAGAAAGAAACAGCAACTGGAAAAGAAGGATTGCATGAGACCAGGATGTCTCTGAAATGGACGTCAGTCTTTCTGCTGTTACAACTCAGTTGTTATTTTAGCTCTGGGAGTTGTGGAAAGGTGCTGGTGTGGCCCACAGAATACAGCCATTGGATAAATATGAAGACAATCCTGGAAGAGCTTGTTCGGAGAGGTCATGAGGTGACTGTGTTGACATCCTCGGCTTCTACTTTTGTCAATGACAGTAAATCATCTGCTATTAAATTTGAAGTTTATCCTACATCTTTAACTAAAAATGATATGGAAGATTCTCTTATGAAACTGCTCGATATTTGGACATACAGTATTTCAAACAGTACATTTTTGTCATATTTTTCAAAACTACAAGAATTGTGTTGGGAATATTATTACTATAGTGAAAAGCTCTGTAAAGATGCAGTTTTGAACAAGAAACTTATGACAAAACTAAAAGAGACAAAGTTTGATGTCATTCTGGCAGATGCCCTTAATCCCTGTGGGGAGCTACTGGCTGAGCTATTTAACATACCCTTTGTGTACAGCCTCCGCTTCACTGTTGGCTACACATTTGAGAAGAATGGTGGAGGATTTCTGTTCCCTCCTTCCTATGTACCTGTTGTTATGTCAGAATTAAGTGATCAAATGACTTTCACAGAAAGGATAAAAAATATGATACATAAGCTTTATTTTGACTTTTGGTTTCAAATACATGATATAAAGAAGTGGGACCAGTTTTACAGTGAAGTTCTAGGTAAGTCATGTGTCCAGTTAGTGCTTATTAAGTCCTAACTTTTCTGTGCCTTTGAAGGTGAGTTTATACAAATACTATGTCAGAAGATAGTGTTTTTAAGGGAAATTTCAAATTGCAAATGTAAGATGATCTATCAATCTCAAAAATATTATAGAATGTTGACCTTATAGAATCAATTAGAACCCTGGGACCATCACTACTACAGGACGCCCAAAGAATCATAAACCTTCAATGTAAAGCGCTTATGATTTCATCACATATCATTTTGCTATACATTTTTTCATCTTTAAAAAAAGTCAATAGATACCTCAAAAAAATCTTCACGAAGGCAGACATATAAATTTAGTATTTACACATATTTCTAGAAAAATTAGCAATGCAGGATTGAGGAATTTGTTTCTCTTTGAGTACCTCAGTTTTCTCATTTAGAAATTAAAATTTTTTCACATAACAAGAATTCCTTCACAGTTGAGAAATATAGTGACTCTACTCCAGAAACAGAAGCCTAAAACTTGAGATTTCTAATGTTTATACATTCCTTCACTAACAGCTTGACAATTATTTCTTTCAAAAACTGAAATCTTGTTGAAAGCGAACATCTAAGTTTCAATCTGTATTTTATTAAACTGCATCTCTCCATCAAACAAAATATAGGCCAAGTTAAGGAAGAGCACATATCTCTGTGTCGATAAATTCTGAAAAATTTTTAGTTCTCATTTGTAAATATATTTATTTTAAAAATCTAATTATAGTAAGATCTTAAGATAAACCAAGATGTAGTAGTATGAAGATTTCAGTGTTACTCTAAAAAATCTCATGGTTTACTTGGAGAACCAAGGATCAAGGAACTAGCTTAATAAATTGTAGAGACTAGAGTACTTCCTGGAAAGCTGTTTTCATGGGTAAGATGAATTAATTGTGGAACTGAAAGAGTTATCTAAATGTATATTTGTTACTATTGCAGCTTCAGAGAGAAGACAAATGTGTATTTAAGTTCATAGTGGCTACATTAGTCCATTCTCACAGTGC